GAAAGCAAGAATAAGTAATGTACCTCGGCCAGGAAATTCTATGGACAGAAACCTTATTATGCGGAAAAATATTCTGATGAGAGATTTTTAGACCGTATAATAAATCTGATCCCTGATTCGGGCTCAAAAGCCTTGTGATCCCTGATCCCATTCTTCTGAGTCCTGAGCCCTTTCCTCTGAGCCCTGAGCCCATATACCATGTTACGACCCTGAATTAAAAGTCATTGATACCATCGCCTCTTAGCAAATACACTACGTGCTGCGAAGGATCCAAATTGCGCTAGAATGTTTTCCAATTCGGCCCACTTTTTATCTCAGGTAAGGCATGGCAAAGCTGATTCACTTACGAAGATTCGAGCGAGAATTATTTCATGATGTTATTCTTATTTCGCAGTCACGGAAAAACAGACCTAGACTCAGGTCCACTCGCAGACGCCACGCTGCAATCTACAAGATCTCAAGAACAGAAATTACCCATTGAACGGCCTCTCCTTTTGAAGATTGCGTGTATTTCATTAAAACAGGTACATATTAAAAGAATCTTGTTAGTTTCTCCCTTTTAATGCACTTATCAATTGAAACCCCGACCCCTCCCCCCCCACCCCGGGCCAAGGTGGGGATTTGACTTGACATCATTACAAATCTTAGCAAACTCCCACCCTACTGGGGCATATTGACTGGTAAAACCCCCACCCAGGTGGGGAAACCTTTTTAATTCCCTGACTGACTTTATTAATATTTCGTTCGAATTTTCAACTTCTTAATATTGACAAATTTACTACAGCAAAAAGGCAAATATGATAACAGACCAAGATATAAATACAACAAATATTTGACAATAAGTAAACATAATGACCCCTACCCACTTATAAAAAAAGTCAGGGTACAAAATGGATGATGGAGTAGCACATTGCTATAAAGTTATATTAAAAGGAAATCCGTACCATCTCCATTGAAAGTAATATCTGCAATGATAAGTTTAATGGAAAATAGCAGCCAACATACCTTAACCTTCACAAGCTGATGCTATAAATAGACTGCATAAAATAGTTCCTAGGAGCTATATTTTATATTTTGGCTTAAAGAATGAGGAAATATAGAACTTCAGAAACCACATGGGTTTAACACTAGACGTTAAACGAGCTGTGTCATGAAATTTACCAAAATGTAGGCTGTGGGAACTGCCACCAAATTGAGTGAAACATAAAAATAACCGCTTAAGACATTAAAAGATGGTATAAATGACTCAGCAAATACAAAAGAAGGTACAGATGGGAAAACATGAAGAAGATTAAAACGGATTGAAATTTTGGTTTTTGAAAACTTGTTAACCTAACAGTTTTTCAAAGTTCATTGTTTTCGTCCGTAACGCTTGAAATGCTTGGGAGAAACATCTGTTTAAAACGAAGCTTTGATTTCTTCATTTCTTTGGCAACGTAACGCTCAAAAGCGAATAGGGACCACGTAACTGGCAATATCAACAAAATGAACCAGATAGCCGTGACACAGCACCTTTTATAATAAGTAGAGGAGTTTGTATCTGCATTGTTTGAGACGTTTTGAATAACAAAAACAATTTCCAGTCAACGAACCATGAAAGCTCAAGGCAAAATCGCAAAGGATTAGTCTCAATGAAGAAATGAAAGGAAAAACAATTAGGAAACGTACGGCCGAGCAATACATCAAAATACCAGTGATCACGTGAAGAAATTACCGTGAGGAAACTAGGCACGAGTCAAATCCCCACCTCGCTCCCCGACTTCCATGGACTTCCATGAATATGCTAAGCAAATCCTGAGAAATCCCCCACCCCCACGGGCTAACCATCCCTTCAAATACCATAAAAATCCCCCACATTGCCCCACATAGGCCCGGGGTGGGGGGTCGGGGTTTCAATTGATAAGTGCATAACGAGCTCAAATCGATGCATAAAACTAAGGTGACGTGCACTTGTCAACTGACCCTGGGGTCAATTAGCGGTTGTTTGGGGCAAAATAACCTCAAAATAATCAATCTATTTTACAAACGTTCGCAAGAACACCAGACTAACTTTCAGATAATGTTGAAGTACTATATCTCATTGGGTAGTAAGCGGGATTTGGGGTGATTTGGAGAATTCCCCCATATAGAAAATTCGATTTTGGTTTTAGTGGTAAATTGTTGTATTTATAAGCATTATGCAAATTACGTTTCAAAATTGTGCTGGTTCGTCGATATTTTATTCTCTAAATCTAAAAAATGTGCTGTTTAGAAATTGTCAATATCTGTTTTTTGAGATTTAAGTGGAAGATTGCCAATATATTCGCTCGTTTATGAAAGTCAGCTCATCTCTGTCGCTAGGCTATAGTGCCGTGTTCGGCGGCTAATTTTAGGTCCGCAGACCGTTGAAATCGAAAATCTCAAATAATTCCCAAACTCGGCCGCATTTTGAAATTTAAACCTCAGCAGTGTTATAAACTCATTAAAACCTTATTACAGACTTAAAATGAAGGTAGGTTAGGTTTTGAGCTGTGGCCACGGTTTGCTCGATTTTTCTGTGCATTCGCTCTTAAGAAACAACGACGGAGTTGGGCACGAGAACATTATTTTAATTACAAGCCAAAAACTCTGCTCTTGCAGAACACTCTTTTCTATGTACACTTCCTTACTGTCAATGTACGACTACCTCGTGAAATGGACCAATTTTAAAACAGTCAAACCCCGTTACTGATACGGACACTCAAGGGGCCATAGAAAGTGTCCGTGCGTATAAACGGGGTGCCCGTATTCAGAGAGGGTCATGAAAACCTTTTTTGGTGGAACAAAATACTAAAGAAATAATAGATGACATCAGTATCCTCAAATTAACCATCTCTCACCATCACAAAGCCGTCATTCCGCGGACCGAATTCACGGAAACACTCAAGTATCAGTTCTCTACTGAACTCGTTTGGTGCTAAAATAATCAGTGAAATTCACGTATACAAATCATCGTATCCGATGTACTGTAGCGGTGGGAACATCGACATGCTGTCAACTGAATTTTTTTCATACCATCAAAAAGGATAAATCCACTACAGCTCATAACTGGTAATGAAGTGTCCGCTCTAGCGAGGTTGATTTTCTGTGAAAATTTGTTGATTGGGCAAGAAAAAAGTGTCCGTTGTCCTCCTTTATGGGTGTCCTTTTTAAGCGGGTTGAATTTAGAGAAAATGTAAGGGCTTTCTTTCCCCAGGGACAAGGAAAACACCTATCGAATCAGGATAAATAATATGTTCTTTTGTTATATTCCTCCACGTCAAGGAGCCAAGTACGATTTTTACAAACGCCAGTGAGGGAGAGAGAGTGAACCGCGGGACTTTGTTTATTAATTAGGAAACCTCCATCTTAGGAGACCTTGAGGCGTTCACTCTGAGGAGCTATTAACATGGAGGCAGGAAGATCCTAGAAGGCGGAATTCGGTCCGTGTGGTACCCAAGTAGAGACAGTTCTAGAAGGAATTAAAAATGGCGGGCGACAAAAACAAGAATACAATTTGGGCAATTCTGCTCTCTTTACTGTCGTTAATATAAGTGTAATTTCAGCAAAATAATGACAAGAATCAGTTCGTGGTAATGCCAAACGAAATGGTCAGCCTTTATTGCCGTGATTAGCCACTGAACGACCCACCGCCATTTTTGCCTGGTTTGTCCCTAGTGCTTGAATTTTCCTAGCGAAGGCAGTTTACATGGTGCTACGATCTTCCTAGTACTAAGATCTTCCTACTTTTCAGCTAGGAAAATCCTACAACTAAGAAGTTCCTAGCGATAAGGACAAGTACAACCCTTTGCATGTACACTAAATAAAGAAAACATATGGCGCTAGGATGATCCGCCTTCTATGATCTTCCTGGTCAACTAGGATCTTTCACTCTCCATGTTTACAGCCAATTAATTTGACTTTCCTGACTGGCCAGAAAAAGCAAGGATTTCAAATGTTTCGGAAGCGAAGCCTCGTTTACAGGTGCAAGTCTTTCCATGAAAAGAAAAAAAAAACGAAAGCCGTAAGACTGCTAACAGGAAAACAAGGACAACGGCATCAGCAGAGGAAAACGTTACTTACAGAGTAAGGAACGTGTTCCTGAGCGTAGCATATTATAACGCTATTGTACCATGGTTGAAATTTTTCTTCTGGCTAGCTGATAAAATTTTTTTTTCCGCTGTGGAAAACGTTCCTTAAAAAAATATTCGCAACAAAATCCTTGGTATTTATTAATATTACATCTTTTATGGCACACTCGACGCAACTGTCAATTACGTCACCCAGGCTTATTCTGAACAAGTTATATTTTATATAGGAAGGCACTTCTTCCAGGATATTTAGTTTAAAATTCAAGTTTTGATGCGATACTTCGCAACAATTACATATTTCATATATTAACCGCGAATTTTTGTTAATGTTAAATAACTTACTTCACCAGTAATAATGACAGTTATAAGCCATGAGTACTATTAAATAAATATATAGATCTGAACAACAAGTTTTCCCGGTAGTAAATAAAGAAATGTAAAGTCCCAAGATTTGCCTTTGCAACTACCTTGATTGCAATAATCTAAGTGCAAAAGTTTACGGAAGCTCGTTAAAACTTACCCTCAATGTTATTTAAACCGCGGGGAATGAAGTTGACTTTTTTTATGACGGACCATTTATCCTTTTTCCTCGGCGGGAAGTAGATATAAATGATCCGTGTAAACATTTTGACACGTGAACTCGCGGTGAAAGCACATTGCACGACACAAAAGCCCAACATACTGTAAGGTTTTCTTTTTTGTTCCAGCACTCAAGGCTGTGCTCTAAGAAAAATTGAAGGGAGCCCAGTGCTCTGAACTTGTGAAATCCAGTGTGCCCAGCATATGATTTCTATGAAAAAACAAAGATTTTCTCGTCGCCCGAGAACAAAAGTTAGGCGCCACGGACCACCGGGCTCTGCTAGAGCACAGCCTTGCCCACTTTATTCTCCTATTCATATCTCCTATCTCCGCCTCAGTTTCCAACCCCTCAAATACCCCCCCCACTCCTCCCCCATATGTTCATTGATAGCCATTGAAAGGTTACTTCGTGGCCACCAAACTTTCCTTGTTATCATATCGTGAGGTTGGACTGCCAGCTGATTAAGAAAATATTCGCTTCAAACGTCCAAGATTTCCGTGGAAGATGAATAGTGTCAGATCACTGAGGAGTATTGCAGATAATGTTAAAGAAACTCAGAGTTGATTTTCTCGCCTATTAACCATCTTCTTATTTCACTTGTACCAGCACCAATTTCATACAATTTAGCATCTCGAAGAAACCTTCCTGTAGGATAATCATTTATGTAACCATTTCCACCTGGGTAAAAGGACGAGACCAAAATAAGAATTATTATCAATGCTACATACAACTAAGATGCCCGCCTAAACGTTAGACTTTCCCAAGGCTTGGTGGAGAGCACGGACTTTTAAGCGCGGCGAATTCAAGAACTGTCAAGTCCCAAGATTTGCCCGGGACAGTCTTTGTAAAAACTCTGACTTTGCAGCTACCTTGATTGCAATAATCTACGAGCAAAAGACTATGGAAGCTCGTTAAAGTTTATCCTAAATATCATTTAACGCGGGAAGAATGGAAGCTGACATTGCTGAAAAACGAGTTGAGTAGCGATGTTGCGCGTTTTAACACCTAATAACCAAACCTGGCTTGAAACAATTCAGGTTATTGCAGGCTGCGAAATATGTTGCAGAAGTAGAGAGTGGTTCTACTTTTTGCAACAAAAACTGTGCATGTTGCGTGTTAACAGGCCTAACGCAACCTTGTTTTGCATAATGTGATGTAAATCCCGTATATGGCATGACTCCCGCGGCGCTTAATTTTATCCAATCAGAAGTCAGTATTCACAGAACGGTTTTCTGGTTAATCTTACCTAGAATTTGAATAGCATCTAATGCGACCTGTGTGGCATTCTCAGCTGCATATAGAATCACACCTGCACAGTCCTACCAAAGAAAATTAGATCAAAATATTGGCATTTGATATGAACATGGTATTGCTCTATATGCAGTAAAGGGGTGTCAAAAGAGCCTATCTTTTGATAGAGCACGTGACGTTACCCTAGAAAACAGTACTGTTTCATTCACAAGAAAAAAGTGGAATTTATTCGGGAACATCACATGATCTTGAATGGGAAAACAGCCAAAACAAGTTTAGCCTGGGGTACAGCCAGGCAAATTACCACAATATCTGATGTACAACTTTCTGTGATGCAGGCTAAAAGAGAAGAAGGTACCTGAGGTCCCTTCTGCCCCCTTTCTTCAGGGCATTTGAATGCTTTTCCCGCTTATTATTACACTTACAATTAAGGCAAATTAGACTAGAAAGCAGTAAAACAGACTGATCCTGGAGTGAATTCCTAGAGGGGACCCAAACTGATTCAGCTTAGGATCCACATCAAGGAAGTTACACCAGGGCCGAGTTGTTCAAAGCTGGGTTAAGATAACCCAGGGTTAGTGCGAGATTTGAATTCAGATTTGAAAGTTTAAAAAGCATTTCAGTTTTAATTCTTTTTGTCTACAAGTTGACAATTGGAAGCTCTAAAAATAACAGATAAAATTCTCTGAGAAAATGCTTTTGAGCACAAGAAAAAGAAACCAGGGTTAAATTTAACCCCGGGTTAAGTGCCAATCGGCCTTCGAACAACTGGGCCCAGAAAAATTCCCACCACTACCCTCTCTTGCATGGCTTTTAGCATTTATGGAGTCGTTTCTGACATGGCTTGTCTGTTTGTGTAGTTTCTCACAGGGCGAAGACAAAACCAACTGCGTGGCAGACAAGCCATGTGAATTACTTTGTAGACGCTAAAATCTATGCGAGAGAGCAACCTCTACTTGCAAGGTACCTGTGACTAGAGGGAGACAGACTACATTTAGTAATATTATCCTATGTTTGGCAGACAGGAGAGTTGTCTGACTGCAGATTAGCAACTTCCAAGATGGTAAAGGGGGGCATTACAATACATTTCTAAATCATTTATCTACTGAAGAATTTTAAACAAACCTTAGTGTTGACATGTCCAGCATCACAAGCACGAGCAACAGAGTATACATAACTCCTACATGCATTAAGACGTGTGTACATGTCAGCCATCTTAGCTTGGATTAACTGAAAACAAAAAGCAATATTTATACAACTCTGGAGGGGTATTGACTAATGAAAAAAGGAGAAATGCAGACTGTGAATCAGAGTGTGGTTGGGTGAGCAGAAAACACAAAGGTATTCACAACCCAACTTAGATTACAGTGCTCAAAATAATGGCCGGTCAATGGACAATGTCTGGCCAAGATGAGGTCAGATGAGCATTTACAAGTCTGGACAAACTTTCAGTTAACTGGCTGGTCATCTTGACTGGTCCAAAGTACATGGCTTTCAAATAAATACCTGGGAAAACAGATTTATTCACATAATGATTCTTTAAATCACAAAAACAGTTCAATCATAAAACATTTTAGCCGCTTGCAGTTATAAATTCATCTGATGACCTCAGTCTGTGGCTTTGTCAGAATATGACTGGTCAGGAACGAGACCAGAACCTAAACTTTAAGTTACGCCAGTCAACATGACCGGCAACTGTCCAAAAATTATTTTGAGCTGTGGACTAGAGTAATGTTAGTTCCAATACCTTTGCAAACTAATGATGCCTATAACAACTCTGAGTTTTTATAGAAATACGTAATAATAGTAAAAAAACAAACTGCGGCAGCAGTTGATGATGCATTGGAGAGGATTACCTGGTGCTCACCAATTTTTTTGCCAAAAGCATCTCGCACATGGGCATATGGAAAGGAGACGTCGACACATGCCTGCATAAGACTGATGGCTTGATAAAAAGGACAACAAAATTATTGTTCCTATAACTTCATGTACATGTACATGCATGTAAAACTTTATTACAGAATTTAAAACTCTTTGACACAATTTGTACTATAACCACTGCAAAGTACTTTTTAGATTAGCATTTTTTTTCGATTGGAATTGTCAAGCAAGGTTTCTAATGCAGGAAACCCGTGTATTCATGTACAATATTATTTGACACTTATTCGACTTTACTCAAGAGGCTACAATGTGAGTTTCCTTTATATATCATGAAATATAACTAGGGCTCTCATGATAATCATGAACAATGAGGACTAACAAACTAAAGCAACAAAAGGACAAAACCATTTTCACCATAACTGCTTTAATAACTTCATAGGAGAAGGCCAAGCCTGAAATTAATATAGTTCTAATAAGCAAAAAATGTTTGTCAATAGAGAAGTAGTTTCCGACAATTAAAAACTTTGCTGTGATGCAGTTGTAATGTTTTGTTTCTCAGTTGTAGAGAATTATTTAATCAGGCTTCTCTAACTGCTCATCATCACAATATTTAGGAATAGTAAAACATACATACCCTACAGGTCCTGCTGCTAAAACCAGTCTTTCCAAATCCAAACCACTCATAAGAACATAAACACCTTTGTTTTCTCCACCCATAATATTGGCAGCTATGTAAAACAGATATAAAATAATGTTTACTGGTAAGCAAAAATGTATATGTTGCAGTTAATTTTTTATTTTAGTTATTTTTTTTTCCTTTGTTTTATGTTCATTAGCATTAACATACCCAAAGAGAATGGAAAAAAATACAAATTAACTGAAATAAAACTAAAACTACTGCAACTGCACACAAATACAACAAAAGGAAGAGAAAATAGAAATATTCATATCTGAAATTTGTGCAGTTTGAATCATTTTGGTTTTGGCTTTTCTCCCTCTTAGTCTAGATATGAATAAATTAATTATCTCTCTTAGATAGATTATCAATATACATGATGTAGGGTACATAACAGTTTGTATTTATAAAATATACATAGAAAATAAATAATTATTGTGTATTAAATGTGGGGGCATATACTTATATTTGCCTTCAGAGAACATGATCAAGTTAACAGCTTTACCCAAGAAATGGTAAAGATTATGGAGATTATAAAATATGCTGTAACTGGCAGTTGACCAGGAACATCAAAGAACTGGGAGAGATTTTAAACTTGTTAGTGATAAAATTCATATTACCCATTACATACTGTAGGGTTCATGAAATATATTTTATTGCAAGTTAAAAATAGTATAAACAAAAATGTAAATACCTGGAACTTCACAATTTTCAAACACCAGTTCACATGTATTGGAACCTCTCATACCTAGCTTGTCTAGTTTAGGGCTTGTGGAAAATCCTTCCATTCCCTGTACAAAAATAGTAAATGGTATAAAAATCACAGCTGTGTGTAAGTATTGTTAAGTATGAAGGAAGCATGGAAAAAGGTCTCATCATTAATGAGTTTTAATCTTGTATGTCAAATTCTTCCTCTGCTTGACAGCCAACATAAAAATGGGAACCATAATCCAGCAACTTAAAATAAAATCAAGGTATTACAATATTAATACCTACAACAGATTGACAGACTTCACAAAAAAACATTGTCGGGACATCAAAATTCAAGGATCCTTGTAATAATATAATTATGTACTGTGCGCACTAAGAATACCTTTTCAATTAAGAAGCATGATATTCCATGCTGTTTTTTAGGATTGCTTGGATCTGTTCTAGCATAAACTACAAGAACATCAGCGTCAGGACCATTTGTAATCCACATTTTGTTTCCATTGAGAACATAGTAATCACCTAAAACAACAGAGCATTATTAATTGACACATGTCAATTACAAATTATTATAATTAATTTACCAACACATGTATAGGGAAACATGTCCAATGTCATTCCTTTTTCCGCACAAAAAACTCCTCCAAACGGTGACAAGTTAGGCATAGGCAAGTCATAAAAATGAACAATACTTCTACCATCAAGCCTTTGAATTCAAGCTTGCTTATGCCACTAATACTGTAGGACCTCATAACAGTTTAACCTCAGTGACCAAGTAAGGTTTCTGACATGATATAAGTTTCAGTAACTAATATGAGACTCTAAGTTGCCTCTTGTCGCACATTCATCACAAAATGTTTGCTCATTGTTATTTTGCTGCAGGGAAAAGCCAGTTGGCATGAGAAAACAGTAAGCAACAAAAAGTAAGCTACATTGTGAGCGCAACAATTGTTGAGACATTGTAACTTCAGAGAACAAAGGAATCCCAACCCCTCCCCCACCCCTTCATTCAAAGTTGGGGTGTTTGTTGTTTTCTAATAGGTAGCTTGAACAGTGGCTGACAACATTGCATGTAGGGGATGGGGGAGGAAAAGCTTTATTTTCCTCTTTTGAAGTCAGTAAAATGCCAGAAAGCCCCTTTAGGACAAGATGTCTCAACTAATCTTGTCACCTATTGTAGTGACTAGTTTGCGATTGTAATTAAGGTTTGCTGGTATGTTCTGAACTTAAGTGTGATTGGTCACTTCACAATCAATATTCCCGAAATATTTCAATCACTTTATCATAGTTTTCTGAGTTTGATATAAAGCTACATGTAGTGTTAAAGGCCTTCTAGATATCAGTACCTTTTTTCTCAGCCTTAATTCTCATGTTCACAACATCAGATCCAGCTTCAGATTCACTCATGGCTAAAGCACCCATGTGCTCACCAGATATGAGCTGAAAAGCAAATATACACGTTTTTTACAGTGTTATTGTTTTATCTCTATGCCTACCATACCATATATATGCAAGAAAATGTGCATACAGATATAAGAAAATACATTTACAAGTACAGTCAACTCCCGCCTTGCGGACACCTCGCTATTACGGACAGCAGCAAAATCCCCGGCGAAAGTTACCGCCGTTTGACTGAAATAAACTCCCACTATTACGGACTCTCGCTACTACGGACTTACGGACACTTAATTCGGTCCCAACGTGACAATTTTATTGTTTTCTCTCTCGTTATAGCGGACACCGAGCAGCATCTTGGAATATTTGCACACATATCAAGTCTATTTTTTCTGCTTTTTGAGACTGTCTTTGTCTTTTTTGGTCGATTTCCGCTTCTTCTGTCCATCAATCAAAATTCCTTCATCTTTTTCTCTTAAGGCCCTCTTTGCAGTCTCGCTGCCATGAATAAGTTCGTCCAGTCTGTCCAAATATTTACTTCTGCCGTAAATCTTATAAATAACTGGAAGTTCCAGTCCCAAGCCAGACCCTCGATTGATCTGTTTTCCACAGATTTCTGCTGTTGCTTTGTGGTTAGTCCTTTTTTTCTGGTACTTACCTGGAGTCCGATAACGAACTTCCAACCTGTTACAGTCTTCTTACCAAGCAACAGCTGTGGAAGCCATTGGTGCTTCTCACGATGTCATGGAAATAGAGAGTGACGACGAGAATGAAATGGAAAAAGAAGATACCCCAGGTGAAGGCGAACGTTCAAACGAAACAACCACTTTGAAAAGTTTCAAGGACGTTCTGGACAGTGTCCAAAACATTTCTGCTTTTTTGATTCATAGAGAAGTTTAAGGTTGCTAATGAATTTAGTCTCCTTGGCGACAAAGTGGGGGAAGTAATGCAATTCAAAGGAGAAGTACACAGAGCCGATTGGAACGATATTTTAAGGCAATGTGATAGCTGATGCAATCAATAGCTGATGTTCAGGTTTTTCCTTGAAAATAACTTTTTTTAGAAATGTAGATTACTGCACTTCAGTACAGCAGGAAACCAAAATGATGCATGTGTGGTGGACATTCCTGCAACATACGATGATTGTTTTTTACGTACTTAGAAGAAAACTACACAGTACACAAAAGGTACTGCCCGTTCTGTTAAGTTCTGTTCTGTTTGTTAACAAAGTTCTGACGCTCTTTACTTGCGAGAACGGGTCTGAAAAAGGTACTGGAGTTAATGAAAATGAACACACATGTGACCCCCTTCTGTAAATATGGTTTAAAATAAAAATTTTCTCGCACCCCGCGGACTCTCGCTTTTACGGACACCAACTCGCGGTCCCGAGGGTGTCCGCTATAACGGGAGTTGACTGTAGGGAGCAACAAGGACTTATAGGATATTTTTCCAAGAGCCCTTTTTTGAAAAACATTAGTACAGTCAAAGTTCTGCTAATAATAGGAACCTTTTGGTGGCAGATAGTCCCCCTTCTAAGAAGACACTTACTTATGTTCTTAGCAGCACGTGCATGTACATATGCACACTGTTTTTTCCCCTGCTCTTTTAAAGCGGGCACCTCTCTAGCTTGACAGAGATCATTAAGTTGCAGCTTGGAGTATTGGCCTGGGTGTGCTGCTGTCATTGTTTTTTTCTCATTGTTTTGGGGATCAGCAATTGTTTTTAATTATTCTTGTAACTATAATTGATTACTTTTATTTCTTTAATTATATGTCTTCTTGTAAATTCTATCATGATTGCATTCTTGCCCCGAAAAAGTGTGAAAAAAACAAAACAAAACAAAAAAAACTGGCTTGACACTTTAACATCCAAGGAGAAGTGAGATCAGGTCATCACACAATGAGAATCACATAAGTCAGGCCAATTATTGCTAGGCAGTGTCCCTTGAAATAGATTAAAATGCATCTGGCAGTCCTTACTCTTGCAGCCTCTCAAAATGAGCCAGCAGCTGGCAGTTTTGGCCCTTGATATTCCAGTGAAATCATTTTTTTGCTGCCTACTCAACACTAGGTTTTAATAACATTAAATAAAGTCCACACAAATTTAGACCTTTGTAGCCAGTCTCTCTAGTTATCCTGCCTACTACTGTGAATCATCTTGACTGGGCTGCCTAGTTTTGTCTGATCTACATTTTGATGTAACCATGCAGCCATTTGTCTGGACAATTAAAATGGAAGGTGACATTAAATTCATTTATTTACAGTATTTATGTATTAACCTTTGGAAGATATTTCTCTTTTTGAGCTTCAGTGCCATTTCTCGCAATTTGATTGACACACAAATTTGAATGCGCACCATAACTCAAAGCAATAGCTGCTGAGAATCTGCTCATTTCTTCCACGACAATACAGTGGTCCATGTATCCAAGGCCAGTGCCGTCATATTTCTCTGTTAGAGCATCATGAAAAGAACAGCCACTGTATTAAAACAGAATAATTGTGTCTACTCTAGTAACACCCTAAAGCCCATAATTTACTGTATAATGCCAAGGGAAATTGGCCAGGGACTGGAAACAGTAAAATATTACATGATACACTAAATTCCCTTGATTTGGGAAATAAGGACAACACAATATGTAATTTTTGTAAAGTAAAATCTGAATCAAGATAACATAAAAAGAATGGGCCTCTCTTAATTGAAAATCTTACGTAGATACTCTTTCTGATGCTGGTGTCAGGTTAATAATAGAGCAGTGTTCAATCTAGGCCACGTTTTTACATCATTGTCGCTGAATATTAAATTCTGGTGCAAAATGAAATTATCGTGAAGTCTTACTAATGCAAAAAAAGGTTACCTTGTATACAAGTCCTTCCAAAGCAGCAGTCAAAAATAAATATAAATTTTACAAAAGGTGTGCTTACTAGCCTGAAATGAGTGCATGAAATGACTATCATTTCAGACTTCATGCTTACGAGTAGTTTTTTAGGTCAGGTCTTTCACAGGTCTTGTACATTTCAATGTTCTGCAAACAGTGTATGTTACTTAGCTGATCGATTCACAATTCATTTGTTGACTTTGTTCTTTTTGTTTTCTAGATTGAACACTGTACTGAAAGGGTGCTAGTTTAATCTGGGGTCTTATTAACAAAGGTTTCTCTAAGGGAAAATAAAGGGAAAATGAGGGTATAATATATATGAACAGGTGAATTAATATTGTAACCATAAATGAAATTTTACTTAAGACATTAGATCAGAAAAAATACTTTGGGTAAAACAGAAATAACAACTAAAAACGTGAAAACTGCTTTACATCAGTACACTCATTCAATTAAATGAAATTTTTGGTATTTAAATATTGCTTCAATTTAAATACAGACCTGGTACTGTTATTCCCAAAAGTCCTAACTGACCAAGTTTTTTCCAAAAGTCCTACAAATAACCACAGGTATACATAAATGAACAATGCAAGTAGCCACGCTTATTTAGTTTTAGATTTTAGGCTAGCATCCTTAAAAAACCATAGAGTTGACCAGACTTACAAAGTACCAGTACATTACTCTTAAATTAAAATATATCTGAAACAATAAACTTTGTCAAGTAGTAATATCTGAGCACAAATCTGGGTAAGATTTTCGCATGGCCACATACGTTTGTTGTGCATGTGGCAATCTTATGCATTTTCACACAAACAGTGAACATGAATAGAGTTGAGCATTTGTGCATAAAATGGGGCTGTGTGGACATCTTACCCAAATATGCACTAAAAAGCACATAATAATCTATTATTGAGCATTGCCGATAAAAGCACAAAGCCAAAAGGATTCGTGTATCCCCCAGGTCTGTCCGAGCGACACACCTCCAACCCAGCCCCCACACCATGCGATCAAGAGAGAGAACTCGGTATATACTTCATGGTAGAAAGCCACAAGTGCACCGGTAATATACACTCTGTGTATTATGTAGTATTATGTCTTCTCCCTAATAGCTAGTGGTAGTTACTAGTAGTTACTAGCAGTTACTAGTAGTTACTGGTAGTTACTAGTAGTTACTGGTAGTTACTGGTAGTTACTAGTAGTTAATGGTAGTTATTAGTAGTTACTGGTAGTTACTAGTAGTAACTGGTAGTTACTAGTAGTTAATGGTAGTTATTAGTAGTTACTGGTAGTTACTAGTAGTTACTAGTAGTTACTAGTAGTTACTGGTAGTTACTAGTAGTTAATGGTAGTTACTAGTAGTTAATGGTAGTTATTAGTAGTTACTGGTAGTTACTAGTAGTTAATGGTAGTTATTAGTAGTTACTGGTAGTTAGTAGTAGTTACTAGTAGTTACTAGTAGTTACTGGTAGTTACTAGTAGTTAATGGTAGTTACTAGTAGTTAATGGTAGTTACTAGTAGTTAATGGTAGTGACTAGTAGTTACTGGTAGTTACTAGTAGTTACTGGTAGTTACTAGTAGTTAATGGTAGTTATTAGTAGTTACTGGTAGTTACTAGTAGTTACTAGTAGTTACTGGTAGTTACTAGTAGTTAGTAGTAGTTACTGGTAGTTACTAGTATTTACTGGTAGTTACTAGTAGTTGTCGGTAGTTACTAGTACTTACTGGTAGTTACTAGTAGTTACTAGTAGTTACTGGTAGTTACTAGTAGTTGTCGGTAGTTACTGGTAATTAGTGGTAGTTACTAGTAGTTATTGGTAGTTACTAGTAGTTACTAGTAGTTACTAGTAGTTGATGGTAGTTTTTGGTATTTACTAGTAGTTACTTGTAGTTATTGCAGGTATTTACTAGTAGTTACTGGTATTTACTAGTAGTTACTAGTAGTTACTAGTAGTTACTAGTAGTTAGTAGTAGTTACTGGTAGTTACTAGTAGTTACTGGTAATTACTGGTAGTTATTGGTATTTACTAGTAGTTAGTAGTAGTTACTAGTAGTTACTAGTAGTTGATGGTAGTTACTAGTAGTTACTAGTAGTTACTGGTAGTTACTAGTAGTTACTAGTAGTTGATGGTAGTTTTTGGTATTTACTAGTAGTTACTGGTAGTTAATAGTAGTTACTGGTAGTTACTAGTAGTTGTCGGTAGTTACTAGTTACTAGTAGTTGATGGTAGTTACTAGTAGTTACTAGTAGTTGATGGTAGTTTTTGGTATTTACTAGTAGTTACTTGTAGTTATTGGTATTTACTAGTAGTTAGTAGTAGTT